TTATGTGTATGAGTGTATTGCCTGCATGTATGTGAGTGCACCCATGTCGTGCAATGCCACAGAGGTCAGAAGAGGGCTTCGGATTCCCCTGGAACTGGAGTTAAGGATGGTTTGTAGGCGCCATGTGGGTGCTGGGAATCGAACCCGGGTCCTCTGCAAAAGCAGTCAATGCTTTTAACCGCTGAGCCATCTTTCCAGCCCCTATTATTATTAGTATTTTTTTATGTATAGGAGTGTATTGCCTGCACATATGTGAGTGTACCCGTGTCATGCAATGCCGCGGAGGTCAGAAGAAGGCGTCAGATTCCCCTGGAACTGGAGTTAAGGACGGTTTGTAGCCGCCATATGGGTGCTGGAAATCCAACCCAGGTCCTCTGCAAGAGCAGTCAGTGCTCTTAACCACTGAGCCATCTCTCCAGCCCCTCTACCACTTACTTTTAAGGAGCCCACAGAATATTTATTCTATATAGTAGCTTTTGTAATTTCATCAGATACACATATTAACAAAACATAATCTTGCTAAATGTATAGGCAGTTTCATAATAGGGTACTGTGTTTCAGTATTCCAATCCAGTATGTGTCTCAAGGGCATCCTTCATTTAAACGAAATAACAGCCACTGTACAATTGCATAGGGGCAAACTCAAGACTTGGTGTTTTCCTACATCATCTTTTAATCTAGGTCCAAATTTGCTCCTTCTGCCTTCCATTCTGCCAACCTTCCAAACAGAGGCAGAGCAGTCTGCAAAACCAATAGAACACAGCAAAGCCCTCAACTCCACCCTATGGCCTCCTCTTGACAAAGGAAGTACCCTCAATACCTCTAGAGGCCAGGCAGGTGACATCAATGAGCAAAATAGCAGGTAATGCATAAACATATATACACACACACACACACACACACACACAGACATACATATTTCATGAGTAATAAAATGTGACATCGGAGAGAAGACTGAAGGGAACAGCAGCTATTTGGTTTCCATGATTGCTATCATGTCTGATGTTGCAATTTTTTTCTTTGGCCTAGAACTCACTATGTAGATGAGGGTAGCCTTGAACTCAGACAGATCCTCCTGCTTCTGCTTCCTGAGTGCTGGGATGAAAGGTATGTGCCACCATGCCTGTCAATGTTGCAATTTTAAAGAGATCTGGAGGGTCAAAATTTTGTGTATACTTCTGAACATGTTAATCCAAGTTTGTTTGAAGAATACTACATGGGTCAAACAGGTCACCAGCTCTCAAGCTTTGATAAGGTGCTAGTGTCATCATTTGAATAGTAATGATGTGGTATGAGAAATTCTGCAGATTTATTTTCATCACTCTGGGGACAAGTGAGACAGAAGGTCCATTCATACTTTAAATACCAAGGATGCTCCCTTTTTAGACAACCTACATGGACTCATAGCCTAATGCCATGCAAGGTACAGCTGCTCTCTTATGACCACAAAATACTGTTCTTCCCAGGAGCTCACAAAACAAACTTCATTAGTTTTCTACAGCAATTCCATCTTGAGTATTTGCTTACCCGTTTGTCAATATCATTGTGTTGAAGCTGCACAAAACGCGCACTGATGGCTGCAATGTAACTCTGCTGATTGGAGAACGCCACACGGCCAGCACCTTTGGGGTACTTCAGCTCTGGATCTGTATCAATGCCAGCATAGCAAACACCACCATATAAACGGTCCATGATCATAGCCAGCTCAACTGCAAGAAAATAAACAAGTCTATGTATAAATATGTGGAAATACCCAGGAAAAGGAATATCATACATTGCAATTAAGAAAACCCCAGCAGGGCATGGTGGCACACACCTTTAATCCCAGGACTGGCAGGGTAGACAGAAGCCAATCTGGCTTACATAGTGAGCTTCAGGCCAGTCAGGGAACATAGCTCAACAAAACAAAACAAGGAAATCCTGTGTGAATCCTCATGAAATATGTCTATATCAGTCTTACAACTCAAGCAGAAGAGCTACTCACTGAGTATTTTAAAATAAAAAAAAAAAGAATTAACACACATATGCATAGGGATTTACGTAGTTATAACTTAAAAACCAACAGTGTAAAAGGAATACTCTATCAATAATCCTGTTCTAATTTCTAACTTAGCCCACTGTAATGGGCCAGAGTAGGTAAAGCAATTCCTGATGGTCTAACAAGTTATGGAGAAATATCTATTTACACATCTCTTAGACTGAAAACAATTTTTTTTTTTGAGACAGGGTCTCCCTGTAGCCCCAACTGCCCTGGAACTTGATCAGGCTGGCCTTGATCTCACAGAAATCCACCTGCCTCTGATGGGATTAAAGGCATTGGGCCTCCACACCCGGCCTGAAAGCAATTTCTAATGCCACAATGCTACATTAGAATTAAGGTTTAGAATTAATTCCTCCTTGTATCTAGAGACAAATGTTTACAGATGTAAACTAAACCTCTGTATTGCACTGCTTCATGACAATAGCAATGAATAGCCCAGAAGCTATTTCCTATGCAGTTAAAACACATCCATCCTGCATCTTGTTACAGGTCTTGGGGTCTGGGTACACTCCTTGTAATATTCTTGCTTGTATTTAATTTAGTGTATTTGCAAAATGCTTTTATAGCAAAGTTATTTGGGAATTGGACCATTCTAAAGGTCAGATATTTAAAAATTATGCCCACCATCAAAGTTCCCTAGAGAGACATGTAGCACTTACCTGTATTGCAAATTGCCTGATGGCTAACTGTGTACTTGACTGCACCTCCTCCAGCTACGGCCATTCCTTTGAGACCACAGTCTAAATCCAAAGACTCAGGCCTACCCCTCGGAAGTGACCCAAACACCTATTTTCCTCCAAAACCTACATATAATATTTAGAAAGGAGAAGAAAATGGAAAACAGAAGGTGACCAGAGCCATAGCCAATGCTGCAACCACCACCACATGGACAGGAATCTGTGTCTGGGGAAAAGGAAAACACGACAGCCTGGTGGGGACAGGGAAGAGCTCAGATGACAACTGCAGAGGATGCCAACTTTTAAGGGCTCTATGTATGTGAGAATACCCCTAAGAGTTCTACAAATACATGGAAATTCAAACATTACTCATAGGCAGGGAGTAAGAAAAATGATTACCATATCAGAAAGGCTATCTTTCTACTCCAAAATTCCTGTTAAAACTAGGCTGCCCAATATTGGTGATTGCTTTCTGAGGGTTGTTTTTGTTTTTTATTGAGCTAGGGTCTCACTATGTAGCCCCAGTGGGCCTCGAGATCAGTCTCTGCCTCTGCCTCTGAATGCTAGGACTAAAAGTGAGCACACCACCATGCCCAACCCTAAGTACCTATTTAATAGGAAGAATGACTTCCAATGAAGTGATACTTTTCAAGTAAGAAAGTAATAACCAGCCCAAGAATAAGTACTGTGAAACACTGAGCAGTAGAAATCCATCCCAATAGTCCCATTATGGTCAGAATTACTGAATCCTAATATCCCCTAGGCACTGGTGATTACAGCCAAGTGGACTGTAACTGTCAGGGCAGTTCCCCAAATCCCATTCACTTGCACAATGTATCAGAATAGCACTGGTTCCCTGAATATCAAAGATCAGTGCTTCCTCACACTTTAGCCCAACAACCTCTGATGGCTTAAGCTTTTTTTCAGGTGGCTAATGTTAGTCCCATAACAAAAAGTAGGAAACTGAAGGGAGAATTGTAAATTGCAGTCATTAATGAATTTCTCTTAGTGAAGTAAGTAATCTTTGGACCCAGGAAATTGGATGTTAATTTTCCAAAGACCAAGTTTGCTACAAAATAAAAAAGTAGGGAAATATTCCCCAGGCTCGGTGAGTGGCCAGGAAGAGAATGCTGGCAATGACTCCAATGGCAGGTGTCTTCCACAATAATGACTGGAGAAAGTGCTGTATTTACAAAGGTAGCAAAGCAGCTGTAAGCTCGAAGGTCCAGTGGAAAAGGGAATAGTATAACTACAGGTTCTTCTACGCTGTAGCAGTCTCCAAAGGAATTTTAGAGATCTTTTAATTCTAGAAGTTTCCTTTCACAAGCATAAACACTCCATTACTTTGTGAATCTCTTCTGGAAAATCATCTTTATGTGCCAAAGACAACTGATGATGCTGGCAGTTAAGTACTTCTGATAAGAAGCAAACCTTTACCACGCATGCGTGCGTGCATGTGCGTGCGCATGCGTGCGTGCATGTGCGTGTGCGTGTGCGTGTGCGTGTGTAAGCCAGAGGTCAACCTGGTGCATTATTCCTCAGGAGCTGTTGACCTTAGTTTTTGGCCACGGTCTCTCACTAGCACCTGACACTTGCCCATTAGAATAGGCTAGCTGGCCAACAAGCCCCAGAGATCCTCCTGTCTCTGCCTCTTCAGCTCTAGCTGACAAGCACCCACTGCCACGCCTTTTTTTTTTTTTAAAACAGGGTCTCCCTGTAGCCCCAGCTGGCCTGGAACTCACTACGTAGACCAGGCTGGCCTTGAACTCACAGAGATCTGCCTACCTCTGCGTCCCAAGTGCTGGGACTACAGGCGTGCACCACCACACCCGGCAAAGTTTTTTTTCGGCCTTTTTGAGACAGGGTCTCCCTGTAGCCCTAGCTGGCCTGGATTCGCTATGGAGACCAGTCTCTGCCTCTGCCTCCCAAATGCTGGGATTAAAGGAGTGTGCTACCACGCCTGGCCATGCCTGACTTTTTAATGTGGATTCTGGGGATCAAACAGTCATTTTCTTCGTCATCAAAGTCTTCAGACATTTGAGCAATGTTTCACTCATGGGAAAGGCAATTTGTTAAGAAGCTAAGAGAGGGCTGGAGAGATGGCTCAGCAGTAAAGAGCACTGGCTGCTCTTGCAGAGGACCTGGGTTCAATTCCCAGGCTAATAACCGGCCATATCTTTAGTTCCAGGGGATTCAACACCCTCTTCTAACCTCCTTGGGTATTGCATGACATGGGAGCACTTGCACACATGTAGATAGTACACTCATACACAGAAAATAAAAATAATAAATTATTTTTAAAAGAAGATGAAACTAGGAGAAACCAAAGTGGCTAAAGGAAGAGTTTTTTGAAGGAAACTAAAAATTTCTCATCTCTTATCTATAACATTTTTTTATTTTACTGTTGTTTTCTTTGAATTTTAAGCAGGGTCTCATGTAGACCAGGCTGGCCTCAAACTCTGTATAGCTCAGGATGACCTTTAATTCCTTATCCTCCTGCATGTACTTTCTGAGTGTTGGGATTGCAGGCATGTACCACCATACCTGGCTTTATGTAGTACTGAGGACCAAACCTAGGGCCTCATGAGTTAGGCAAGCACTTTATCAACTGAGCCAGTCCCACTCATCGATATTTTATACTAATGTATATTAAGTTTACATTATGACCACCTTTGAAGAAAAGTAAAAAGCAGTCAAATGATTGTTTATAGTTGATCTTTCACTCACAGTAAATCTTTCTGTGGCATACTTCTTGTAAGCTGAACTCACACTATCCTTGATGTCAGTGAAGTACCAAAGAGGATTTCTAATTACTGAGAAAAGTAATTATTTTTCCAATAAGTAACTTTTTAAAAATAATTTCAATGCTATAAAGACAACAGATTAAAAAATTTTGGGCTAGAAAGATGACTTAAAGGTTAAAAGTACTGGCTACTCTTGTAGAGAACCTGGATTTGGTTCCTAGCACCCATGTGGTGGCTAACAACCAGTTAGTGGCAGCTAACAACCAGTTAATTCCATTTCCAGAGGATGGTGGGGGGAACAGGTACACTTATATACATGCAGGCAATACACTCATACACATAAGATAAAAATAAATAAAATATAACAACAAAAATTTCATCCATCTACTCTAAGTGAATAACAAAACAGAATAAAGCTTTCTCAAATCCTACAAATTTCAAATCTGAGATCACTCCATTTTTTTATAGAAG